AAACAAGAGAAAGTGTATTCAAGAAAAATTTAAGTCAGAAGTAAATTAGTTAATAAAGGAAAGTAATTTATAAAAGTAGTTCAATGGTAAAAATTTGATTATACCTGGACGAAAGAGCAGAAGCAGCCCGAATCCCTCCTCCGGCGTTCCCTGACAAGCAAGAGAATGGGACAGGGGCAGTGACGGCACCCAAGGAAGGACAGAACTGGGATGTGTTTGTGGGGTTGTAGGAGCCCAGAGAAGGGCCTCCTACTCACCCAGGCCAAGGGGGAAGTTCTCAGAGGCAACCTGAAGCTGCATGAGTCTCAGGAGCACGCAGGTAAGCCAGGCAAAGACACCCGCCAGGGGCTTCCCAGGCAGAGCGACGGCCAGGGGCAGTAGAGTGACGACAGGAGGGAGGAGAAGGGCACGGTGGGCTGGCTGTGGGGGAGACAAAGAGGCGGGTGGGTCTCCAGGAGCAGGGAGGCGGTCAGGACAGCAGCCCGGGGTGGGGCTTTCTTCCACCAACATCAGGAAAGAGGGGAAGGATGGAAGTCAGGACATGTGTACCTTATGAAACACCAAAGCTCATGATTCCATGTGAAATGCTATCTGCCTTATTATCACTGATTCATTTATTATTCATACAAGAAATGAAAATTCAAATTATTTTATGTCTCATTCACATTTCATTGTAGTAGGAAGACAATCTTAATAAGCAAAGCTGAATGAAAGGTAATGAGAAGCTTTTAACAGGCTTTCTCAAAGTTCTTTCCATGTGAATCCTGAAGGCTTCTATCTGACATATGAATTTTACAAAAGAAATGATCCATTTTCCTGAGTTTATAGATGTTCAACCCCAGAGGCAGGTATACGAACACCTCAGTCCTTGACAAAAGCTCCGACCCCATCTATCTGTTAAGCTATAGTCTGGAAAGCCAAGGCATCTCAACCGATCAGCAGGGAAATGCCCGGGGGTCACGAGGCTCCTGCACAGGGTCATGAGGATGAGCCAACCTCACTCCCAGGCTGGGTGGCAGAGACTGGGGTGGCTGAGCTTCGAGGCCCCTGGCACAAGGAGACTCCTTTTCCCCCCAGCTTTCTTAAAACATCACTGACAAACAAAAATTGTATATATTTAGGTTGTTCGTGGCACAACAATATGATTTAACATACGTATAACTGTGAAATGCTTCCCACAATCAAGTTCATTAACACGTCTATCACCTCACATAATAACCATTATTTTGGGTGTGTGGAAGGAACACTTAAGATCTACTCTCTTGGCAAACTTCAGGTATGTGAGAGATGCAGTATTATCCCCTATAATCGCCATGCTGTACATCTACCCCCAGATGTAATCTGAAACTTTGTATACTTTGATCAACACCACCACCACCACCACCCCCCCCCAAGCTCAACTAGCCCTTCCCTTGGCAGAAAGAAGTGCAGGCAAACAGCTGGGTGTGACTCATGAGCTGGCTGAGGTGAAAGAATACATTTCTCCATGGGTCAGAGGTGAGCTCATTCAAGCATGACTCACGCCTGGATCGGTGGGGCAAGAACAGGCTGAGAGGCACCAGGTCCTTGCAGGCAGGCACAGACTCAGCCTGGCTCATGGCCACAGCATCCCTGCTGCTTTCTCTCCCTTTTGTAGGCAACAGAATTCATTTGTCGCCCCCCCCCAACAAAATCTAATTGGGATCCTCAGTGTCACACATAAAATAGACACAAGCCACATGTGCCCTCCCTGGGGGAATCCTGCCTGCGTGCCAATCCCTCCTTGTAGCCTCTCCTTTCCAAGGCATTGCCATGGGGGCCAAGAGCATTTTGAAAATGGCTGGCCTAAAATCCAGAGCAGAGAGCTTTGGGGAATAAAGAAAAGGACATTTAAAAATGTTTTCAGGTCTGCGTGTTTTGGGAAGTCACCTAAAGACCTGCTCTGAGAGGCACAGGCTTCCCTGGGATAAAACACATCCCCAAACATCCACAAAGGCACCTGACACCAAGCCCCGCCTCTCCAGACAGCAGTCCTGCCTGTCAAACAGGTCACGGGGCCTATCTGTCCGCCAGAGAGAAACTCTCCCCGCGCTCGCCCCATCTTATCGAAGGCCATTTCCGGGTAACAGGATTCATTTCACTCTGCACTTGGACACCAGCCAGTGTCAGCCACCCAGCCAGACGGGCGATTTGGGATGGCCTTGGGATGGCCTGTAATTCACTAGGGAGCCACTACAGCTACACATTCAAGGCTAATGACAGTGGCAGGCAGCATTCCTGAGAGCAAGGCACCCTGCTGAGCACCCATGCCCTCACTAAGGACTCCTCACAACAGTCCTTTCTAGAAGATACTACTGTCATCAGTCTGCTTAGCCAAGGACATTAGGATGCAGTCAGAACATTGAAGTAACTTGTCCAAGGTCAAGGGACTACCTAGTGTTGGATCCAGGCTTGGAGCCCAGGCAGGACACGACCAGACTGCGGACCACATGCCCAGAGGCCCCAACTCCAGGCTGCTGTGCTCTACCTGTGGGAGGGCATCTGCACAGACAGGAAAGAGGTGTGCTGGTTCTGAAATAAGTNCTCTGGTTCTATGAATTTTGCTATTTTAGATTCTACATATAAGTGAGACCACACGGGATTTGTCTGAGTCTGGCTTATTCCACTTAGCATAATGTCCTCCAGATTCATCCACATTGCAAATGGCAGGATTTCCTTATTTTTTAATAGCTGAATATCTTCCTCTGTGTGTGTGAGTGTGAGTGTGTGTGCGTGTGTGTGTGAGTGTGAGAGACATTTTCCAGATCCACTCATCCCTCCCTTGACACTGGGGTTGTTTCCGTACCTCATCTATTGTGAATGACACTGCAATGAGCAGGGGAGCGCTGTTACCTTTTTGAGAGACTGATGTCATTTCCTTTGGATACAGATCCAGCCCAGTAGAGGGACTGCTGAGTCACACGACAGTTCCGTTGTTAATTTCTCGAGGAACCTCCATGTCGCCTTTTCCCACAGTGGCTGCACCAATTAGCGTTCCCTCCACAGTGCACAAGGGATCCCTTTTCTCCACATTCTCTCCAACACATTATTTCTTGCGGTTCTGACGACAGCCATTCTAACAGGCGTGAGGTGATAATCTCATGGCAGTATTTTCATTTCCCTAATGATTAGTGATGAGCACCTTTTTATGTACCTGTCAGCCATTTGGAAATCATCTTTGGAAAAAATGTCTGTTCAGCACTGGCTTGCATGGCTCAGAGGTTAGAGCGTCGGCCTGCACCCCCCCCCAGTCGCTGGTTCGATTCCTGGTCAAGGGCACATACCTGGGTTGCAGGTTCGACCCCATCCCCAATTGGGGCACATGCAGGAGGCAACCAATCGATGTGTCTCCCTCTCACATCAATGTTTCTCTCTCTGCCTCTCTCTCACACCCTCTCCCCACTCCCTTCCACTCTCTCTAAAATCAATGGAAAAAATATCCTCACTCCTCAGGTAAGGATAAAGAAAAAAAAGAAAAACAGATGTTCAGGTCTTCTGCCTGTTTTTTAATCAGGTTATTTGGCAGATTCTTGGTACCCAACATAGACCTTTGTCACCCTCCCCCTTCCCCAAAGCAGAGAGAATCAAATGTGAACCATCAGGTAAGACATGACCATGAGTAACTGCCCACCTCACCACTGCTTTCTCAGTGGGGAGAAGACAGACCTGTCACAGGCACAGGGTAGGATGAGTGGGGACCATGACAGAAACACTACCTGCCCTCCTCATCTGCCATGAGTGGTCAGGTGCTGAATTCTCTGTCATCACCTTATGCGACCAGAACAACTTCTCCTAACCTCTGGATGACTTAACACCCTGTCAGGTGTGTTTCTCCGAGCACCCTGGGAATGGCCAGAGGGACTCATTAACCAAAGCATTTTCCATCTGGAGTCTCTCCTTGTTCACTGTGTCAGACAGATGATCAATAAGCCAGCCTGTTTATTAGAAATGCATCTGAATAATTCCCAGGAAAGTGCAATTGGCTCATTAGTGTGGCTAATGAACCCTACAAGGGGACATTCACCGCCACAGACAGGGCTCCTGCACAGGAGACTGGCCTTTGTCTTGCCACATAAAAACGGTTTTGTGGGGGCTTTCTGCAAACTCCTGTTTGCAGCTGCTCCTCCTATACCATATAGGCTCTTTGTCTGTGGGGACCTAATTATACAGCCTGGATGCCGTCTCCAATACACCCACTGGCTGCACCTGATGCCACAGTGGGGGACAGCTGGGCACAGCACACAGATGCACCTCACTTCACAAGATGACCATGAGCACGAAGTATTGTGTGCGAATCAAAGCTTTGTGCCATCTGTGTCCTTGTTCCACGTGTACGTGATCAGTTCAGAAATGCTGTTTTTAATAAGACTGATCATGCACGTTACTTATCGTGCATAAGAACAGCTTCCCTTGCTGTCGTCCCAGGAGCTGCAGCTGTATCCTCTGGCTTGGTCCTCACAGTCGCCCAGAGACAGGACACCTGTCTTCACTTCAGATGAGCAAAGTGAAGCTTAGAGAAGCAACGTCGTTTGCTTCAGGTGACGCAGCTAGTAGGGGCTAGAGCTCATTTGACAACAAGCTCACGCTTTTTAATCTGTTGGATGATGCCACTTCCATTCATTCATTCAATCATTCATTCACTTATTCATTCACTCATTCACTTATTCATTCATTTACCTATTCATTCATTCACTTATTCATTCATTCATTCACTCCTTCATCCATCCACCAACCAGGCATTGGAGCAGCACCTACCAGCACAGGGAACTCAAACACAATCTCATTGAGCAGACCTATAATTAGACAGTTATTGTGACTTCTGGGTTGGATATTTGGATTTCCCATGTTTCTATGTCCGCCAGACAAAACCAGACACCATACAGAAACCTAGAATCAAAGTACTTGAGAGCAAATCGGCACTATGGTCACAGACACTCACATCTGTGGGTGTGGCGCCCCCGCCCAGCACCCCAGCCCCTTACCATCTCCGGTTTTGCTTGGGTTGGTGGGTTCGGGTGTACTCAGAGGCCTAAGGGGAATGATGATCTCATCCACGTTAACCCCTTCTTCTGTGTGCTTCTCAGACACGTGGGACAGGAGTTCCGACTGACTCGGTGAGAAAAGGTTACAACATTTACACATGAAGATGGCCGGATTTTCTGTAAGAAAAAAACATGTTATTTCATCTTTACAGAAATATTGCAGGATGCCAATCTCCAGCCTCCAACCAATTGTGTCTACCTCATGAACACCTGCCCAGCCAGGCAGCTCTAACTTCCGGTGGCCCGTTGCCAGAAAATTCTTTCTTCAGTTTTTCAAAACCTCAGTCCTCTGATCAAGTCCAATAAGGACCCCACTGTTACCCAAATCTACTCCACAGCCTAGGTTCCAGTAGCAACATGGCAAAGTAGAAAACAAACAAATATGGAACCTGAAAAATTATGTCCAACCTTCAAATGAATGAACTGGACTGGTGGTGATTAAGTATTTAGTTACACTCTCTTAAATTAGGGGCAAGAAAAACCTGATCAAACCAGCATTTCTCAGGAGCCAAGACACCTTTCCACTGGCTGGCACAGAAACCAAGCACAAGAGGAGAGGAATCTGTTGTTTTTTTAAGCCACTGTATTCCTATTTTAAGTATTATCACCATTCATAAATATTTACTGATAGTCCATTCTATTCATCCATTGCACTAGGCAGGAAGACATAACAGGGGAAACCTGATTTTTAAGTCTGATAAAAGAATTATAGGCACATGTAAAAATATTAAATTTAGGATCCAATAACAATTAAAAACTAATTTTTTAAAACATTTACAGGGAAAGGAAGGATTGGTATGATGGGAAGGACAATGGCCTTGAAGCTAGACAGACCCAGGTTAGATTTCCAGCCCCAGCCTCTAGATGCTGCAACGCTGGTGGCCTCAAAGAAGCAATAATGACGTCCTAGCTGCAGAATTTAATAGGAAATACAGGTAACGTGTCTACTCTGCAGTGGAAAGACAACAGCCACTCAGCGGACCACAATCTCATTCAACCCAACTCTCCACCCACACAGCTGAACAGCTGGAAATCTACACCTGGTTCCTTCAGACACTCACCATCACAAGCCTCAGGGGACTCTGAAGGCCACCTCACAGTCAGTCACACAGTCTCTAGGCCATTGACTCTCTGTCCATGGTGAGAAAACCTATCACCCCGCCTCCTCTCTCCTCACCCCCAGCCTCACTTCCAGCTGCTGACCTCGCTTCCTGCTTCACTGAAGCAGCCAGAAGAGGCCTCCAGGAGCTTTTTCCACCACACCTGCACCTGCACCTGCACCTGCACCTGCACACCCTGCCTCTCCACTCACCCGCCCGGCCCCACTCCTGTTTGCATGAGGGTTGGCACAAGCAGTGGCCAGGTGTGTGTGTGTGTGGTAGTGCTGTGTTTGTGTGTTGTGTGTGTGTGTGTTGTGTGTGTGTGTGCTATGTGTGTGCTCTGTGTGTGTGCTGTGTGTGTTCTGTGTGTTGTGTGTGCTGTGTGTGTGGTGTGTGTGTGTGTGCTGTGTGTGCTATGTGTGTGCTCTGTGTGTGTGCTGTGTGTTCTGTGTGTGCTGTGTGTGTGTTGTGTGTGTGTGCTGTGTGTGCTATGTGTGTGCTCTGTGTGTGTGCTGTGTTTGTGNCTGTGTGTGTGCTGTGTGTGTGGTGTGTGTGTGTGCTGTGTGTGCTATGTGTGTGCTCTGTGTGTGTGCTGTGTTTGTGTGTTGTGTGTGTTGTGTGTGTGCTGTGTGTGCGTGCTGTGTGTTCTGTGTGTGTGTGTGTGTGTGCGCGCGTGTGTAGGGTGGAGGACCGGGAGGGAGGTCCACCCTGGGGTATACAATGTTTTGTCACTGACATTGTTCAGAGCTGGTGGCTCATGGAGATAGGAAGCAGGCCGACACTGGATCATTATCAATGCTTGTAAATTCTCTGAGGACAGCGCACCCTATGCCCGCGCCTGGAAACACCGCTCCTGCAGCCCTTGCCCCGGGCAGGCACCAGACAAGGGCACCGCGATGGCCTGCGTGCACGGAACTCCAACCTGCCCAGCCATCAGCGACACTGTTCCAGTGCCTTCAGCTTCTCTCCAGGTCGTCCATTCTTCCCTCTGTGCTCCTGATGCGCTATTTGTTCTCCCAGCTCAAACCAAACCAAAACAGAACTCCCTCGCTCCCCTGCCCACTCTCTCCCACCACCTTCTCCTTCTCTTTACAGCAAAACTCCCACCAGAAAGCGGAGCTGAGAAAGACACAGCAGGCCAGTGTGACACCGCAGTGGGGTGGGCAGAACCCACCGGGCACAGGGTCCAGGAGAGAGCCCGGCGCCAGACTCAGAGCAAGACCTTCTCCATTGGCAGGCAGGCAAAGCAATGACCTAAGAGAATACTTTCCTACCAAGCAGTGCATGAAACAAAATTTAACAAAGCAGAACACTGCTTTGTCAATGCAAACCTCTCGTGAATACTGTCAATCGATATTTTCTTTTTTCCTACAAAATGCATATTCCTGAGGAACCCAAAATGCTTCCCACATAAGCAGAAACTGCAGTAACAGCTCTTTCTTAGATGAGGCATGTTGTTCTCAGGGGGCTTCCTGCGGGTCCTGCAGAGATCCTATCATTCAGGCAAAAAGGTGTCGGTGATCCCCATTCCACAGGCGAGGAAACTGAGGCTGAAAGAGGCTAAGCAGTCCCCCCGAGTCCTGGCTGAAAGGAGGCAGAGACCGGACTCCCTGCACCTGCTCTTGACATGAGCATCTGGCTCAGACCGCAGGCTGTGTTTCTCCGAGTTAAAGCTGAAGTGCTTATTTATCACTCTGGCAACAATATCTGAAATGAAAACCATCCCAGAGAAAAGCACAATTCCAAAATCACTACCAACTTCTCTCTTGTTCATTTCAGCATGTACCGAGCAGCGGCCACAGGGTGGGCCCCACGCAGGCACCAGGATGGGACGCAGAAATGACCAGGCACAAGGCCCGGTCACCAAGGAGGCTGCCACTTCACCAGAGAATCAGACACGGCGCAGAACAACTGTATCTTACGGTTTCTCCTGAAACTATTTCCCAGCAGGTCTGTAAGTATTCTCGATTCCTGCTCTGCTTTCAGGACAAGGAGATTCTGTGGCATTTAACCGAGCAGAGCTTCAGGGGACCACAGAGTTATTGCAAGAGGTCCCTCAGTTCACAGCATACCAGGCACTGTCTGGAGACTCATAAGCAACACTGCTTGGCATCTGTGCAGACCAAGTGTTGGAGACCGCTGTGAGTAAGCCACGACCCGCTATTCCACACAAGCTGAAGGACTGCGCAGCCCTGGGAGACACCAGGCCTTGGCCATCTGCTATCAATTAGCACATGTTCCCTGAGTGCCCACTGCATGTCCAGTTCTGTAAGGTGTGGGGACTGGACCTGCAGTTCCCCAGGTGCAAGTGGGGACAAACACACATGACCTAGGACAACTGTCACAAGACTGGGGCTCAGTGTGCAGTGCATACTGTGAGATGGGCCAGCATCTTACTGAAATCACAAGACGATCTCGTCTGCAGGGTGGCACTGGCTGCAGGAGGGTGTAAAAGGTCACCAAGGAGACGAACAAGTGTTTCCTGAGCCTCTGCCGCTCTGCACCGCAGGGCAGTCTCCTGCAGATAATTTGTCCTCAGAGGACTGATTGCAGGTTTCCAGACAGCCTGGCTCGCAGCCCCAGCCCTGTGCCCGAGACCACTCACATGGGCACCCAGGAATGTGCACAGGGTCTGCTGCCACCAGCAAGAACCAGGAGCCTCCAAGATGCTCACTCACAGCTTCTGACAGGGGCTCTACTTCTCAAGGTCTTGCCTTCATAATCATCCAAAATGCAAACAGGGACTGTGCACAGAGACACTCAACATGGAGGGATTTAGGACAGCAGGCCCCAGAAACGTCCTCCATGCTCCGCTCAGGCAAATCACCACATCCCCACAAAGAAACTCAGTACATCCACTGAAAATCCCATTTTCACAGAATCCTGAACGGCATGAGGAAATGTTCACAGTGAGCGTTAAATGCAAAAGAATGGGATACACAACTGTTCCAAATGAACATAATTCCGTTACTAATGGAGAGACAGTATTTATGGATGGATGGGCCGGATGACAGCCAGCCGGCAGAAGGACAGTCAGCCAGCTGAAAGGAAATACACCCAAATCCTGACTGTTAAGCTCTTTTTTTATTCCATATATATTTTCTATAATAAGCCTATATAAGTTATAAAAACTAGAGAGATGGCTAGGCCTTCTAAAAAGCAAGGTAACAAACACTGCAATTCAGACATAGTTCTGAGTGATGAGCATGGAGCTGCTCAGCAAGGACTGTGTCATGTTCAAGGCCTCATCCCCCAGGCACATGGCTGTTCAACACTGTGTGAGCCAAAAGGCACACTGCAAATAACAAATGCTGTGAGGGAGGGAAGGCAGAAATCCTTGGCTGATATGCCTGGAAGGCTTCCAGGAGGAGGCACTTGACCGTTCACATGCCTGGACCGGTCACTTGACCATCCAGGAGTTGGACACGTGGTCCTGGGAAGGACACCTGGACTCCATTGTGCACCAGAGGTGGGTTCAATGCCACCGTCCATGCATCAGCTTCTGTACTCCCCCACCTCCCGCCAACCAGGGCTTGTTGTCCCTACTCTACAGGTGCAGACTGACATTCAGAGAGGCTGACCTTCCCTCGGCCACACGGCCAGCATGGTGCAGGGTCAAGGTGGAACCCAGCTCTGCCTGAGCCACCCCAGGGTCTCCACAGTGCCACGTGCCCCCTGGGTCAGCACTGGTGAGGACGGAGCTCTGCTCTGCTACTAACGATGTGATCTTTATATAAAGAGCAGCCTGTCTGAGAGCCCGAGCAGAGTGCAGGTGCTCCCTCTTGCACACAATCTGTGATTGCACCGGGACTGGAGAGGAAGAAGCTGCTCCAGACATGTCGGCAGAGCAGCGTCCAGACAGTGGAGACAGTGCGGGTCAGGCTGCCTTCCCCGGGTATTAAGAATTATTAATCTGTTGAAATAACAACGAAGAAGCTATTTTCATTATTAGAGCAGACTAATATGAAAAAATTTATCTCATACCCTGAAATATCATAATTATGTTGTCAGCTAATC